GCCTGATCCTGTCCTCCCCGCTGCCTGCAGGAGCCGCCGTGGGTCCCCGTGGGGGTGCGGCAGGGTTCGGAGTTGGGGTGAGAAGGGAGCAGAGAGGGACGGAGGGGGAAGCTGTTTGCTCATGAGAGAAAGGGGTTGACGGGGGCAAAGGGGGATTTGGGGGAGCTGGCGGTATTGAGGGGCTCCTCCAGGCTCTGCCACTGATTTGTGGGGTGACCTCGGTCAAGTCTCCTCGCCCCCTTCTCTGCCTCTACTTCCCTCCCCTGCTTCTGCTTTGAGAGCAACAGAGGTGAAAAAAAAAAAAATCATCTCCCAGCTAATTCAGCAGCAGCATCCAGAGCCCTCGCATGGGATAGAGACCCCCTGTGCTAAGGGCAGCACAAGCACTCGGTCCTTGGTAAGAAGACAGTTCATACCCCAACACTGGACCAAAAAAAGGGCAGGAGGGAAGGCAGTATTATCTCTGTTTTGCAAATGGGGAAACTGAGGCACAGAGCAGCCATATGGCTGCTTGTCATTGGGGTCTAGCCCTGCCCAGTGGCACTGGGACAAGCAGATGTGGCTGGTGGAGCGAGGATGGAGAGGGGCCACCACCTGCTCGACGGATGCAAAGGAAATCACCCATCCCGGGAGGGCCAGGGCATGACACACACCGCAGCTCCCAGCCAGCCCGAATCCCAGCGCTATCTGGGAAGGTGACTTCATCCCTGCTCCCAATGCCCAGCACCATGACCTGCACAGCCACAGGGGCCAAGGGCTGGCCAAGGCCACCGGACACCGGGGGCAGAGGACTCACACCCTGGTCACCTCCTGGCAAAGAGACACCCTTGCCCTGGCCCAACATGACACCCCTGAGCAGGAGCCCAAAAGTGGTGTGAGGTCATTTTATCCCTTCCTGCGGCCCTGATTTGATTTTCCTGCTGGTTCCCAGCCCATCCCAGCCTGGAGAAATCAGACCACAAACCACAAAGCTCCTCGGCGTGCCAGAGACGGCTTAGGCTCATGGGTTTGGGATGGGGAGGGAGGAGAAACGTGTCCAGGACTGATGCAGAACGAGTCCCACTTGGGGAGGGGATCCCCCTGACATCCATAAACCACCACGGCCATCAGTCCTCCATGGGGATGTTCGCTTTCCAAGCAAAAAAGGCTCCTTCTCACCTCTGCCCGCCACTTATTTTCTGGCTGGTCCCTGCAGCAACCCTGTGCATCCCCAAAAATGTGCTGCGGAGTAGGGCGGGGGGCAACCCGTAGCATTGCATTTTCCATCCCTCCGGAGAAGGGGCGGGTGGCTCCGCTCCCGAATTTCATCTCGGCTGCCGGTGTCCTGGGAGGTGGAAGCCGGCTGCTCCCGGCGCTGGGCGTGTGCCTGGATCCGGCCGGCGAGTCCTGGCTCCCAGGGAGCCGCACCTCGCCTTGGCTGCAGTTCCCAAAGCCCTCGGGGGGCCCCGGCTCCCGGTTGGGGCCTGTAGCTGTTCCTGACGTGCCGAGAGCATGGGGACACGCTCCCACCTCTCCTCACGTGGCTCCAGGTTGAGCAAGCGGGGACAGGCTCGGCTCGCGGGAGTCTCCGTGCATCCCAGCCCGGCGGGCTCCTTGGGACTGGGATGAACGGGGAAATCAATTTTCCTGGGGAAACCAGACTCCGGCCACCGCCGCACAGGCTTCCAGGAGCTCTTGGCGTGGGCTTTGCCTCCTCCAACCCCGAATGCGGCTCTGTCTGTGAGAAGGAAAGTAGGAGACGCGGCTCGCAGGGTGTTTTGATCCATCCCATCACTGCTTGGGGCATGGGAACAAGGAGCAGGACAGGCGGAAGCAGCCAATGTCCCAGAGAGAGGGTCCCACCGGGGCAATAAATGCAACAGCCCAAATCAGGCATGGTGGCGGCGATAGCGGGAGCTGACCTTGTTGGGGGGGCAGGGGATGTGCTCTGTGCCTCCTCACCAAGGCAGTTTAAAAACTCTTTACACCGTTCTCAGCCGCCCCTGCAGCAGACCTGGCAGAAAGGGACGTTTGCAGAGTGCCCTGGGGTGGGCGCCCCTCTGATGCCCTGGGGTGGGTGACCCCCTAACGAGAGCCTGCTTGGAAGAGAGCAGCCTCCTGGATTTGCCAGTCGAAAGGCAGACCCAGGTTTGGCCACGTGCACCCAGGCCACCCTTCCTATGAACAATTTTTCATGTGCTGCTGGGGGGCCGCGAGCATCCCTGGGGCCTGGGGCACCACAGGGTTCGTGGGCAGAGCAGGAGGTGGGACGCGCAGGACTTCTCCAGCCCTGCTCCTGGCACGGTCCCACGTGAGTCAACGCTGCTGGGCAGAGAGGCCAAACAAGCTCATGACACCTCTCTCCCTTCAGCCCCATCAGGCTGATTCACAAATCCTCTTGGAAGAGCGACGATGCCTCAGCTGCACCGGCCATCTCGGCACGGCGCCGAGCACCATGCCCTTGTGCTGTGCTGGTGCAAGAGCCACCACAGTCCACGGTGCTGGTAGGACACCCAAAGATATCTATTTCATTCCCCCGAAAAGGGAAACCAGTGGCACGTGGATGCCTGAGGGATGGGCAAAGGAAGAGGCGGCGTGTGCGATGGGAGGGCTGTCTCCATCAGGGCCACAATCAGGGGATGGAGAAGGACCATAAGCACAGGACAGGGGCACATTGGTGCCTCCCCAAATACTCAGCATCCCACCTTCTGGGACCACGGACTCCCCGAGTCAGAGAGAATTCATTTATGGGAGGCAAGCCAGCCCAGTTGTGTTGGGGTGTGTTGGGTTAGGTTGGGTCGAGTGACGTCTGAGACCCCTTCCAGCCAACATACATAGGTGGGCATTGCAAAGTGCGGTAGGAAACTTGCTCCTCCACTTTTTGGGGCTGCAAGCAGGAGGACACAGCCTGGGAGGACACCGCTTTTGGAGGGGGTGCATGGCTTAACCTCACGGACCGCAGGGACACAGCCTAATTTCATGTCTGGCAAGAGTAGGCTGTGATGTTGGTCCACGGACCACGAGAAGGACTAAGCTTTTCTCTTTGCTAGTGATGCCTGAAGGCCACCACTCAACATCCACCTACAAGAGCACCCTTGACACAGCTCCCCAAATTTGACCCACACTCCATTTCTCAGGCCTCACTGCCTTGATCCGCATTTGCACCAAGGACCATTTACGTGGCCCTCATGCTGTGGAGCATCTTAAATGGTGCATCAGCACGAACTGTGAAAGACAGCCTTAAACGTGAACAAAACCCATGCTCCAGGCACTGGCACTTGCTCCGTAAATAGGCAACAGCGTTTGTGCTCACCAACACACCAACGGCAAAGCTCTGCCTTAACTTCACCGTAATATCTACATAGGACCTGGTGTTAAAAGGCCATATTCATGAGATGGCAAAAGCAAGATCAAAGCCATCAAAGTGACTTGCTGCCCCTAAAGACACACCATGAAAAGTGAAGGTATGCGTGCCTCGAGTCGGTTTGTTAAAAAGTAATCCACAATTTGTAAAGATAACCACAGATCTTTTTTATTTAAAAAAAATGGAAGTAGAAAAGTTTGGCTGAAAATATAAAAAAAAAAATTTTAAAAAAATAGCACTCGCACAGGAAATGTTTCTGTTTTGAAAACTTTGTCAATAGCTACAGCAATTTAAATCATAAAACAATCATCGTATAAAAACATATTTATTTAAATTAAATATTTTATGCAAACTCATATCTACACTCATTCAAAATGCATAGAGTCACACAAAAAAGATGGAATGTATTAGCTTAAAAACCTGTGAAGTTGTGGGTTTTTTTAAGTATTATTTGCAATTATTATTAATATATGTTTGGGACTGAAACCAGAAAATCATAGCCACGCTACTAACTAATCATTACCAAGTGCCATACAGTAAACACTAAGATTAATCATGTCATATAACTGATTTAAAATAAAGCTTCATCTTTATGAAAAGGAAGAGAACTCGAGCAATACAAAATCCGAGGGGAGGAATAATGGAAGGAATAAATCAATGTACAGCTTTATTACAAGCAATAATATGCCGGAGTTAGAAGAGGCATTGGGCACTGCGGCTCGAAACGTGAAGCATTCGACTTCAAAGGATATTTGATAAAAAAACCTGTCTGCTACATCATCACCTCTTTGCCAAAACGCTCATCCCAGGACCCATTCCCAGCCCGGCGGGGAGGGCAGCTCACGCCGCCCCTCCTTCGGGAGCTTTTTTGCTGGAAGACCAAGGGAAAGCCGTGGCGGGGGTGGATGCTGGCCGGATCCTGCCTTCCTAGATCTTACCCTCCTCGGGAACACAGAGGCTGAGCGCCCTCAGGGCTGGCTGCCCCCCTTGCAGCCCCCCCCCCCAGCCCTTCCATCCCTGGGGCCAGCCCGGCAGCATCCCTGGTGTCCCATCTGTCCCCTCGGCATGTCCCGAGGGATGAAGACCCCAGCTCGTGGTTTGGGAGCAGGGGGATGGGGGGTTCAACCAGGCGGGTCAGGTTGGCCGCAGCGACACCGACGCCAGGAGCCAAGAGCAGGGCAAAGCACGCTTGCAGACCGTGCGTCCCTTTCCCAAAATCTTCCCTTTCCCCCCCACCCCATCCCTGCCTTTTCCATTTCCAGGAGGTTTTGACCTTGTGGGGACTTCAGACCTGCTGTTTGCGGGATGCTGCCGCCCTCCCGACTCCAAAGCAGAGCTGGGGGTGCCCCGAAATGGGGGGGCAGCCTCCCCGTCCTCCCAGGAACATCTCTGCTTTGGAAGAGGGACTTGGCCAAAGGGCTTTGGCGTTGGGAAATCCCCCCCCCCAGCCCTGTTGGAAGCAGGGTACCGGAGGCTTTGCACCACTGGTGAGCCGACGACCAAAATCCTTTACCTACGCCACCGAGGAGATTCCACGGCCCTCGTGGTTCGGACTCGGTCACCCTGAGGGGCGTTGAGCGATGTCCCCGGGGAGCAACGCCTCGTAATACTGTGTCAGGTCCTTCCTCGGCCGGTCCAGGCGGCCCCGGCCGAGGTTCTAGGAGACGCTGTAGTTATTGTAGTAGGTGGCCGTGGCATCGGCGAGGACGGAGATGAGGCTGGTCTCGGAGGCGTGGGAGCTGCCAGACGTCGAGACGTGTCCGTTGACCAAGACCCCACCATGGTGGTCGCCGTGGCCGGGGTTGTTGAGATACTGGTCGAACTCATTGCGGTCCATCTCCCCCAGGAGCTCGGCTTGGCTCAGCTGGTCCAAGGTGTCAAAGCTGTGGTGGTCGGGTGGTGGGGAGAGCTGGCCCAGGTGGGCATGGAGGCTAGGGGGGTGCAGGGAGGGGAAGGCGGGTGTGTAGTAGCTGGGAGGAGGAGGAGGAGGAGGAAGGGGAGGGCAGCCGGAGGCCGGGGGGATCATGCAGGTGGCCGGCTGCGGCATGGGGCTGAGAGGGTGGTGGTTGCACGGGATGGAGCTGCCCGCGTACTCCGGAGAGTAGGTGGCTCCGGTGAGGTGGGAGCGGTGATGCTCGTCGGGGCAGGGCGAGGAGAAGAAGCTCTGCTCGGGGTCTATGGCGTCCAGCGGAGACATCTCCGGCGGGGTGGGCAGCCCGTAGGGGTAGGTGTCCACGCTGGTGCTGCTGCCGCTGCCCGGAGCCTCCCGGTATCCCCGAACGGCCGGCAGCCCCGGGCGAGGGGGGTACTCACCCGACCCCTCTTTCTCCCCCCCTGCCCGGCCGCAGGTCCGCTTCTCCGGCACTGCGTTTTGGTCCCGCGTCAGGCTGCCCAGCAAAAAACCCGGGTCCACCCGCTTGCAGATCCGCTTGACCTGTTTCTTCCGCCGGGGCCGGTATTTGTAGTTGGGGTAATCTTGCATGTGCTTCACCCGCAGCCGCTCGGCCTCCTCCACGTAGGGACGCTTCTGCGAGAGGCTCAGAGCCTTCCAGGACTTGCCTGAAACGGAGAACGAAACTCCCCTGAGCGCCCGTGGCGGCCGTATCGTGGTGGGGGGGAAAGGGGGCTGCCTCCCAAAGCTTGCAGGCACACAACCCAAGGGCAAGCTCCCAATATCCGAACTGGTGGACGTGGAGGACGCAGCCTGCAAAACCCGCAGGAGGACAGGACGGCAGCGGGAGGGCGAAGAAGGAGGCTGTCGAAGCCACCGTTAGGTCCACCAACTCCCCCCCTGTCCCAAATCTCCCAACAGGGAGGGTTCAGGGTTAGCTGAGCCCCAACTGCAAATAAATCAGAGCAAAGAAACTCCCCCGGCTCCATGGCCTGATCTTGCCGTGCCTCTCTGGGACAGAAAGCCCGTTTGCTGAGCAGGGACGATGGAAGCCATGCCCGGCTGAGCAGGGGGTCAGGACGTGGCGTCCCTGGATGAATCCCAGCCTGTACCCTGCCGGGACTAGGGCGTACGGAGACCTGGGTGCCGTGACCTCGCTGCTCCTTGTTTGAGATACCTAAAATGTCCCCAAGATCCAGGACAGAGAAGCAGCACCGGGGCTGGGGGGTCGTATCCCACCGTGAGGCTACCCCAGGCTGTGCCTCAGGGTAGGGGGAGAAATGAGGATACAGATCAAAGCGTTCGGTGCCTTCCCATTGCCAAAGAGACAGCAGAAATAACACTAATAAGCTGAGATGCTGCACGGCAAAGCGGCGAGGAGAAAACCCAAACCACCAAAGAAAACACCGCAAAACTGTCCAGGGAAACACAAACTTTGGGTAAGAGGCTGGACAGCAAAGCTGTGTTGCAATTTGGGCAGCTCTTTCTCAGGCTGTCTGGACTGGTTATTTCTGTTTGCCCTCTCAGTTTCACATAAAAAATGGGGATTGGGAGATGGGGGAAATAGTGGATGGGGGGGGGGGAAAAAAATGTATATTCAAAATGGGTTGTGATCCCCAGAAAGAAACAGCAGAAAGACCACCCCACCACCCCCGGGCATGCAATATTGGGGTGGGCTAGTGAGGTCGGGGACAAAGTGGGACAGCAAAGACAGGCCAGGAAAATTTGGGGGTCCCTCCTTGCACTGCATTGGGGGGTCCCCGGCACAGGTTTTACACCCAAGGGGCGACAGGGTGTGTGCATGGGTGTCTGTCCCCTGGGGTGGGGGACACCACCAGGCTTTGCACCCCACAAGGCACCCCAGTGGTTGTTACCCCAGCACCCTGGACCCAGGCAGGGCTTACACCCTGTGGAGCAGCAGGGAGGGTGCATGGGTTCCCGTCCGGACAGGGTTTGCACCCCCAGGGATTGCGGATGGGTGCATGGGTGCCCACCCTGGGGTACTGGATCCGGACAGGGTTTGCACCCCATGGGATGGGTGCATGGGTGCCCACCCTGGGGTACTGGATCCAGACAGGATTTGCACCCCGTGGGATGCCTGGGTGGGTGCATGGGTGCCCAGCCCCGGGTGCTGGATCCAGACAGGGCTTCCACCCCCAGGGATGGTTGGGTGGGTACATGGGTGCCCACCCCGGGGTGCACGGACACCCCC